CCAAAGTGTTAAGCATTTTTGAATTCATTTATCAGGTCAGATCGGGAGCACTTTTAGCTTAGCTTAGCATAAATCATTAAATCGGATTAGACCATTAGCATCTTGCTTAAAAAAGTTCAAAAATAGTTCTGTCTTTGCATCGTGTATACTAGGACCAAGAGAAAATGAAAAGTTTCTACACTAAAGCAATAAAGTCACTTGAATATTGTCCCAGAATAAGAATATAGCTCCTATATCAACCTAGAAAATTGCTATTTTCCGTTGGTTCTTAGTACACAAAGCAAGGAGAGCCAAACTTTAAATAAGAAAATGATCAAGTCTAATTTTTCAGTGAGATGCTAATGGTCTAACCCAGGGGTGTCCAAACTTGGTACTGGAGGGACGGTGTGCTGGAGAGTTTAGCTCCAACCCTAAACAAACACACCTGAACCAGCTAATCAAGCTCTTACTAAATATACTAGAAACTTCCCGACAGGTGTGTTCAAGTAAGCTGGAGCTAAACTCAGCAGGACACCCGCCCTCCAGGACCGACTTTGGACACCCCTGGTCTAATTCAAAGATGTATGCTAAGCTAAGCGTTCCTTGAGACTCTAAGATGGGCTGAATGGATAAAAATGGTAAAACACTGCTTTTTAACTCTATAGGGGAGTAGAATAATTAGCCTATTTCCAAAACAAGTGGAGTCTTCCTTTAGGTCTTGCAGTAATACAATAGCTTTTTTGGAAGGAAACTCTGAAAACTAAGCAGTTCTCTGAAAGAGTTTCTGTTTCACAGAAGTAGGTCATAGATATTTGGAATGATGTAAGGCAGGGGTGTCAAACAGCCCAGCACAGTTTCGTTTCAACCCAACTCCAACATATTTACCTGTAGGCTTTAAACAAGCCTGAAGGACTAAGTTAGTTTGATCAGGTGTGTTTAATTAGGGTTGGAACTACACTGTGCAGAGATGCGGCCCTCCAGGAACTGACTTTGACACCTGTGATGTAAGGGGTAAGTAAATGGTTACAGAATTGTACATTTCGGGCTAAATATAATCATAAGAGGTTAAATGCTTTTGGTTTGGTCCAGTTTGCATTGGTTATCCCTTCTTACTATATTATATGGCATGGGATGTTTTAATTAGACAGGTCATAAAAAGTTTACACTCTCAGAGAAGGGGCTTTTTTCCAATACAAAATGTTCTTGCAACTGTTTAAATGTTTGTTCTATGTGCAGTATGAATGTAATCCTGCCTCATTCATTATATTGTCATTAATATATGATCCTACAACATCACTTGCATAGCTTCTGTTTGGTACAGTATGTGCTGAGAACACTGTTATACAATCAGCTCATTAAACTGTCCACATGTGGCAGAAAACAAGCACTCAGCAAACTAAAATGAAACGGGTGTGATTGACATGTGGTTACTGTTCTCAGGGTTTTAACAAACAAGATTAAAATGATATGCAGATCTAAATGCAATTCAGGGCCGGAGTGGGACTCCTTTTCAGCCCTCGAGTTTCAAGCCTCAGACCGGCCCACCTCAGTTCATGACTGACTATATTAAAATAAGGTCATTTCCAATTCAGTTTCTAATTACACTATCACGTCTTTTTTTTTGAGAAAACAGCTGCTTTATAACTTAAAATGTTCAACAACCCTAACAGTATTATATGTCTTAACAATAAAAATATAAAATATATCATACTCAGACAAGAATCAAACCCGGGTTGGCAGCGTCGTACTCTAACGTGCTATCCACTGGACCACAACAGCTGTATATTAAAGAGTGACTCATCTGAGTTATATCATCATTAACCTGCAGGCTGCATTCTGCTCACGAGGCTACGAGAAAATATATAAAAAGAGCAGAGCTGCGCTAAAATAATGAATAAGAAGACTGTGGTCAAGTAAATAAATGAATTAATTTAAAAAGTGTGACTGCTGAGAGCAACAGATTCTGGAGCATTGTGGAGGATAGTAGCATTTGTGTGCACTTCCAATATAAGGATAGCTGATGTTGTGCTGCATCTTCTTTTGTTACAAAAAGTAACTGTGTAGTTACAAATACAGTAAAAATCTGTTTGCTAGTTATACATACATGAACACATTAGTGCATTGAATTACTTTACGTTTTTGTGAGCTAAACTGGGTTTTTGTGAACTAAGCATTGTATCAGTTGATATCATATGGTTATTTTCTGTAAATTTAACAGATTTTTTTAGCAGTGTAAATAAATTAGAGCTAAATTATAAATGTTGTGTTGATTGAACTAAACAACATTACCTTATCTTTATTTAACTTAACTTAAGTTCACTCAAATAAATATTCTTTCTTTAAGGTAACTTAACTCGGTTACGTGGAACCTGTTGACATAAAAAAGTTCATTAAAGCCAACAAATAATTTTTTTGAGTGTAGGGACACTGGCCCTCGCGGCCAAAAAACGGACCGGCCCACTGGGAATTCTCCCGGTCCTCCCGATTAGCCAATCCAGGCCTGATGCAATTTCACAAACTGACACTTTTCATCCGTTTTCACATATAAGCTGTAATCATGACAGTCAGAGAGATTCTGTCAAATTGTTTAGGGGGATTTTTGACTAATTAATCTTGAATATGCTATTTTTTGGTAGGCATGTGATGATCTGTTTTTTGTTGTATGATATATTCAGCCTGACCTCACGAGGAAACATAAGTATTTTACGTTTTGACAGTTTAGTGGCTAATTCGTACGAGTTCAGTCATACGAAAATGTACGATTTTGAAAAGGAGGCGTGGCACCCAACCCCACCCCTAACCCCAACCGTCATTGGGTGATGAGCAAATCGTACTAAATTGTACGAATTAGACTGTACGAATTCATACAAATTAGCCACTGAATCAAAAAGTTAAGAATTGCCGTGAGATCGTGTTGGATATATTGCACCAAAGCATATTGCGCTTAATCTAAATTATTATTTTAAGACTGTTTTATGCCATTCAGTGTATAATACCAGAATGACAATCGGATAGCATCATAATTTAAGCACACTCTTCCAAAGAACACATCATGCTTTATTAAGAATATTTAATTTAATTGTGACAATTTAATAATGAGGCATTGGAAACAGAATGTGAAAACGCATATCCTAAACAAATACATAATAATAAATGTTAACAAATTGTAAGGTAAAAAGTAACAGAGGCTGCGATATCAATGCATTAAATTATACTATAGTACCTTAAAGTAAACGCTATTGTGTTTTTTAACCATATTGACACTGACACCTCCAATAAAGATGGAGAGGTTGCGCAATCAGCTAACATGTTGCTAGAATTAGTTTTTATGCATGGGCAATACGAATTGCATCAACAAAAATGACTGAGGTCATGCCCATGTGTTGTGCGATAAGTCGATATTGATTATTGTGACAGACCTATTTTTTTAGTTTGGTGGCATCTTAGCTATCGGTTATTTCTGCTTCTAATGCCTTATTATTCGGTCAATGTCCAACATCCAACCTAAAATCAACCAAATATCAACGTCTAATTATGTTACAAATTGACGTTCTCTAGACATTACCACTATGACCTCTATGAGATGATGGATTTGGGTCACTTTCCAACACAACCTTAAATCAACCAAACAACAATGTAATTTGATGTCCTTATTAGTCGACAAAATAACGTCCTTAGATGCTGGCTAGACATTGAATTTTGGTCACCTGTCCTCATGACCTAAATCTAACCTAATATTAATGTCTTACGATGTTGTGTGCCCGCTGGGTAAAATCTATAGAGAGGGAAGTAAGATTGGGATTCAGATGCCTTTCAGCCCTCCATTCCTTTCGGACACAACCCTTGAGAAATAAAGTCATGTGAAATGTGTAGTCAATAAGAGTAAATGAAAGTGTTTTGTTTTACTTGTATGTTTTTGTGTAGGAGACCTCCAAAACCTTTAAAATAGCACAATTGGAGTGGTAATTTTCTTTTTTATTTGTAATTTCACACAAAGGATAGTTCACCCATACTGCAAATTCTGTCATTATTTACTCACCCTTTACAAATGCATTGAAGTAAAGTTGGTTTTATATTCGCATATTCAGACATTCCCCTTAATATTATCATTTCAGAAAAGTATTCATTGCAAATTCTAAATAGGGAAATTATAATAGCAGCAAATGACTATCAAAGTACAACATTGTTCACAGTCAAATAAAGTGTTATTGTTGTTTTCAAGTCATACTTGCATGCTAATTCCGATCGAATATTCAAAGTAACATGGTATATATAGACTGCTACATAAACGAATGTGTGAAAATAAAACCAACTTTACCTCTATTACAAATGCTGGGTTCCACACAATCCTTTTATGTTGTGTCTAGGCAAATATATTAAGTTAACTTAATTGTTTTTACAATTTTAAGTTGACCGAACATAAATCAATTAAGTTTTCCACAAAAAACTTAAGAATTGTGTTGTTTCAGCTAAATCAAGCAGTTTAAACAAACAGCAAAAATTAAAAATGAGTGTATTTGAGGTTATTTCCTCTGTTGAACACAAAAATAATATTTTGATGAATGCTGAAAATCTGTAACCACTGACATCTATTTGTTTTGTTCTATGGGAGTCGACTGTTATGAGCATTTGTCAACATTTGAAACCACCCGAAGGTGAGTAAACCACAAATAAATTGTAATTTTTGGGTGAACTATCCCTTTAACCGTACACTCATGTCACTACAAACTAAACTCATCACTCTCACGATATAAAAAATGTTCGAAGGAAATGGTTTCAAGGAGAAAAGGAGTGAATTCATGAACCCGTTCATCAGTGTAAAAAAAACCGACTTTAAACAATTGGACCACACAGTGCAAATAAACAGTGCGTGCAGTAACTTTACTCACGTGCACTCCACTAAAGCTAGATAATAATGAATAATATTAACAGGAATGCGAATAACAACCCAGTGTTTTTTCAAGTGGGTTGTTTGGAGACGGTTTGGAGACTGTTGGAGGAGTGGTTTCAGCGCGCGCTTTGGCTCATGATGGTCATTTGGCGTTACTCGCTCAAAGGCAGAAGGACGACGTGTGCTTGTTTTAGAAGAAGATGACGATGATGATGCCATATTGAAGGATTTTTCTCGTCTAAACATAACTGCAGCGTTTTACGACCACTTCAGTTCAGCTTTGGTGAGTAGAAAAGTTACCTTCATTTGTTTAGCGCTACGTTTGATAGCTATTTGTTTGTAAAGGCTGCGAAATTTGAGTTTGGAGCTGTCAGAGTTGAGCATAACACACTTCTATGTTTGGCACATTTAGTTTTTGACAAAAATATATATTGTATTTGGGCTTGTATATTTTAAAACATCACCATAAGTCAGGAGAACATGTGAAATGTGTTACAGTGCTGCTTGTCACAATATTATTAAACAGCACTAGACAGCAAGTAGCATCTACACTGCAAAAAATGCTTTTCTTACTTCGATTTTTGTCTTGTTTCGAGTCCATATGTCTAGAAAATTCTCCTTTATTTAAGAATATTTAGATATTTGGACTTGAAACAAGACAACAAATCTAAATAAGAAAAGCATTTTTTGCAGTGTATGGTAAATATAGCCTACTCAAGAAACACAAGTGTGTGTTTGTCATTTCATCATAGCCAAAATTGAGGTAAAGTTGGCTTTATATTCTCACATTGGTTCAGTGACAACTTGTGACATGCTCCTCCTTACTGTTTACCATGGTATTTTGAATATTCGGTCTGAAATCACTTGTAGTATTAACAAAACAAGCATTATATCAAAACAACATTATCAAAATTACTTATTTAAACAACATTAGCCCTATTAATTTGACTGTGAACAGTGTTGTAGCCTACTTTGATAGTCGTTGGCTACTCATATAATTTCACTATTTATCATTAGCAAAGAATCCTTTTCTGAAATTATATTATTAAGTATAAATTCCAACTTTACCTCAATATAGGCAAATATGAAAACAATCACCTTTATTTTAAACTAAAATGCCACACTATGGCGAGACAGTGGTGCAGTAGGTAGTGCTGTTGCCTCACAGCAAGCTGGTTCGAACCTCGGCTCAGTTGGCGTTTCTGTGTGGAGTTTGCATGTTCTCCCTGCCTTCGCGTGGGTTTCCTCCGGGTGCTCCAGTTTCCCCCACAGTCCAAAGACATGCGGTACAGGTGAATTGGCTAGGCTAAATTGTACATAGTGTATGAGTGTGTGTGTGTGAATGTGTATGTGTGGATGTTTCCCAGAGATGGGTTGCGGCTGGAAGGGCATCCGCTGCGTAAAAGCTTGCTGGATAAGTTGGCGGTTCATTCCACTGTGGCGACCAAGGATTAATAAAGGGACTAAGCCGACAAGAAAATGAATGCCACACTATTTCTAAAAGGTTCTTGTATAGGCAGATATATTGTTTTTAATGAAAATACAATATTTAGACACTTTGCTGTCTTCAAATTTTGATACTTCATGATTTTTTGGGCTTTTGTTATGAAAATGTTAGCCTTAGGTTTACTATAAGCTAGTACACTCCAAACATTGACAACATTTGCATTGAAAATGCAAATGCAAATTACAATGACACTCCCTTCCGCCAATAATATAGATCTGTGTTTTTAATGATGTTAGGGCTCAACAATAAGGACTGCCCTATGGCCCGGGGCCAGTGTGAAAGATGCTTGGGACAGTAGACACCATTTTTACTGGCCCGATTGGGAAAGTGCTGCCTTGTCACTAAAGTTTAACTTGCCTGCGACTATTTGTCAATTGTGTGCATTTTAAGCTTCAGCTTTTTAGTCTTAAAATGCTACCTTCTCTGATGTCGATTGCTTTTTGGATCCTCCTATCTGATTTGATGTTTTGAGCATGCTATTTTTCCTGTATCCTGGTAACAACCAGTACAGCGAAGAGACGGCAACATGGCAGCAATATCAAATTAAAAGTCTAAAGTAAAATGTCTGTTTATAACGTCTTGGAAGCAGACATTTACATGAAAACACAATGAAAAAAATGGTGATTATTATTACTTTTTTATTTCATTTATTTATTTATTTTTTCACAATTTTCCAGTCAGCCACCTTTTGTTAAATAATTTCGAACTGCAATAAAATACCTCCACATTTCCCATAATGCAATTTTTGTTTGCATAGCTCTCAATTGTGCTCATACATTTATTAACATTTTTCAAATATTAAAATTGTAGATTCACAGAAGTTATTTTTGACACATTATTTCAAATATGTGGCTAAAAAATAAGTATTAACTTGTCTTTTTTATTTTTTTTAATGGGGCCAGTGAAAATTTTGGCAGGGCAAGTAAAAATCTGAACCATTGGCCCGATTGGACCAGTAGAAAAAATCCTTAGCGTTGAACCCTGTAATCTGCACTTTAGCTACTCGTTAGATTTTCTGTTCAATCAAATGTGCAGATGATCTCTTTAGGACTGCATGATAGATCAACATAAATCTCACATGCTTAATTGTGCAGCCCTATTGCTGTAGAATTTTCTATAAAAAAAAAAAAAAATTCACACAATCATATTTGGTCAATAGTGCGTTGATCGCTGTGTAGGTGATAAACGATTCAGACAATGTAAATATTCTTTCCACTGGAGCACACACACACAGTCCGCTCTGGTTGAGAGGCACAACAGCACAGAGCAGATCATGTGCATGAGTCTGTGCACACCCTTTTGAGTTTACCCAGAATGTTGTATTTTGTAGCGACATGGAAGAAATTAGAGGGAAAAATTCTTAGACTGCCTTAAAAGGATAGTTCACTCATCGTCAAATGTTTTCAAACCACTATGGGTTTCTTTTTCTGTTGAACACAAAATAATGTTGCAACCATAGTAGGAAAAATTAGCACTATGGAAGAAGTCAATGGCTACCCGTTTCCAACACTTTTCAAAATATCTTCTTTTCCTGTTCAACAGAAGAAAAAAAATCAAACATGTTTGGAACAGGATTAATAAATGATGATGGAATTTTTAATATTAGACTTCAGTGGAAATTACAGTAGCGCACTTAATAAAAAAAAAAGAAGTGTGCATATATTTATTTGTGTTTGTAAAAATGTCTACCAGCCTGTCATAGGAGCCAGGAGCCCGCAATAGTCAGATTGCAGCATATGCAATGTTGAGTTGGGATTATTATTGGTCAGAACCATTAAATCATAACATAACAGAGTGAAGGTTTATCATTGGCACGTGTTTTAATCGCATTTCAAGAGCATTCAGGCACAAAAAGTACAACTTTAATGAAGAATGATTTTGCTGAAAAATGACAACTACACAGTGTTGTTTAACATTTGACGTTTCATTATTTATTTTTTGTACCTGAATACTTATTTTAACAGTTTATTATTATTTATTGTACTTTTTCTGTGCTATATTGTAATCATGTTTGCTTTTGATTTGTTAATTTTTAATTTTTTTCAACAATATTTACACCCTTACAAAGGCAGTTTATTCCGCTGTGGTGACCCCGGATTAATAAAGGGACTAAGCTGAAATAAAAATGAATGATGACACCCTTACAAAATCACCCCAGTCAATCTAAATTAATGATTTCTTTCTTAAACATATCTATTCAAGCCATCTTGTGACGTTGTATTCATATCACAATATATAGAGTTGAAGTCAGAAATATTAGCCCCCCTGTTTATTTTTTCTCAAATTTCTGTTTAACGGAGAGAAGATTTTTTTTTCACCACATTTGTAAACATAAAAGTTTTAATAACTCATCTCTAATAACTGATTTATTTAATCTTTGTCATGATGACAGTAAATAATATTTGACTGGATATTTTTCAAGATACTTCTATACAGCTTAAAGTGACATATAAAGGCTTAACTAGGTTAATTAAGTTAACTAGGCAGGTTAAGGTAATTAGGAAAGTTATTGTATACCGATGGTTTGTTCTGTAGACAGTGAAAAAAAATAGCTTAAAGGGGCTAAAAATTTGTACCTTAAAATGGTGCTTAAAAAAATTAAAAAATGCTTTTATTCTAGCTGAAATAAAACAAATAAGACTTTCTCCAGGAGATAAAATATTATCAGACATACCGTGAAAATGTCCTTGCTCTGTTAAACATAATTTGGGAAATATTAAAAAAAAAAAAAAATTCAAAGTGGGGGGCAAATAATTCTGACTTCAACTGTATACATATTGCAGAAAAATCAACCATCGCAATGTCAGACTTTCCAATAATATGCATCCCTAAATGGAGCTTTATCTGAAGCAATGTTGTGAGTGTTGGTGTAATATTACCTATTTTCTTAGCCAATGGCCACAGAGAGTGTTTGGGAAGAAATATTAGATCACCCAAATTCAGTATCTAATAAACATGATGGAAGAACCATTGTGCTGCTGACACTCATATGTGCAGGAAGGGCATTGAGCGATCAGATTATAATGTCACAGGTCCTGTCCCAGTGGGCTCGGTATTAAATAAAAGCCTACTATTAATGTGATTTTCCTCCATTCGTTTTAATGATAGCCAGTTAAAGTCTAATTAGTAACGCTGAGCAGTAAAGTCTTCATCCATATGTCCTGTAATAGCAGGGGCCTTAAGCCGATAGGACAGAACTCATGAATGATTTACACTGCACGAAATCCACCACATGTTGCCCGCGAAGGGTCCTCATGCCATTTTATTATATCTTTGAGATTTAACCACCCCCATCCGCTGGCTTTGTGTGTGTGCGTTTCTTTGTTGTCACCGTCTCATAGTGTTTGTTATTGATCTCCAAGAGCCTTCATAGACCAGCTGGATTCCCAGAGTGGATTGAGGTGAATGGTGCTCAGAGCATCAGCTGCAGATGAATGAAACCCAGGATTTGGTAGAGGAAGCTCAGTTTATACCAGTGCTTTTCAACTGCTTTAGTTGTGGGACCCACATTTCCCCATGCTCATTAAGCCTCTACCTATTTCTCCCCATTTTTATTATATATGGGTAATTCTTTAAAGAGCCCATATTATGGGTTTTTGAAAATTCCCCTCCATGTAGTGTGTAACACAGCTCTAAGTGAAGTGAAGTATCCAGCTAAGGCTTAAATCTGTTAGTGTACAGTGTTTAAAACGGTTGATTCATCTATAAAAGAGTCGACTCATAGTGCTTCAAACGAGTAGCCTTGATACCGAGTCATTAGGTGTTTCGCCATGACG